CAGAGGCATTTTTTTCCTGGTTCGTTCAAAACACGGCCCATAATCACAGCTCTATGGAGCAGTATCAGACTCATATTCTGACTAGAATTGAGTCGGACTACGTCAGGCTACATCTTTACCAAGCATAAGAACAAATATTTTCACATCTATTTATAAATAAGTTTATTTTTTGTTTCTAATAAATCATCTTTTGTTTTAAAATGGTTAAAATCCAAAAAAAACAAAACATTATTGAAGTGTTTGTTGCATGTTTAAAAAGTGACTAAAAAGATTTTTAAAGAAATTGACCCCTTCTTCTGTACTTCCTGCAGGTGCTGTGCAGCGTTACATTTGACTCCCTGGAGTCCAGCATCAAGACGGACATCATCACTACCGCTCTGAGGTAAAACCTTCATCATCATTAGGGATAGTCCTTAGAAATTAATATTCATATTTTCAAAAAAGCTGGTTTTTATCTTTATAAAGATGAATTTGTGATTGCTGAAAATAATGGAATACATTAAGTATAAAATCATGCAAAAAAAATATCAAGTTTCTATTAAAGTGGACCTAAGAAAATACAGATCTAATTTGTTTTTATTATATTAAAATGGGTTTATTTTATCCTGAAATCAGGAAATATCCCTTTTCCAGGCATGTAAATGTGAGAATAGCTTACTCTGTTATTTATCCAGCTGGTAAAATGAAGCCCTAACAATTTTTTTTTTTTTTTTTTTCGGCAGTGGCATCAAAGACAAAAATTTCATGCTTCATTATGAGGTAAGTAAAATGCTTTTTTTTGGTTTTGTATGTTTTTTTAAGAAAATTGATTAGCATTTTTCTTTCTTTTCTTGTTCTCTGAGTGATTTTAAAATCGACTGTGTCTGATTTCAGTTCCCTCCTTATGCAACGAATGAGACTGGAAAGATGGGAGGGCTCAACAGGAGAGAGCTTGGACATGGTTCGTTTAGACTTTGACTAACTTTATTGTCCTCTTTTGCAGACAACGTGTGTACAAAACGGAATTTCGATGCATACAGCTTTTCAACAGCGAATGAGCAGCTCACAGCAGTGAAATGAACATTTCCATTTTTAAAGTGCAACAGTGATCAGAAGAATAGGCGCAAATGCATTAGAAACATTGAGTTGAGTTCTATTTAAAGGGATTTGAAAATTCACCATGTAGTGCAAATATGTTTACAAGCGTGTCTCCATTTGTGACTTGATTAGATGTTCACCGCTGGTCCTTTTGCCCAAACAACACCTTTAATTTTGGACTTTTTTTTAACCTGAATTCATCTAGTCTGAGTTTAAAGTATTTCTGCAGTGGGGTATTTTCTAGTTTTCATCAATTCATATCTGATATGGAGAGATTTCTTTCCTGCCTTGACCATCAAAAATGTTCCAGAGTGATCAGTTGTAAACTGTGAGGAATTATACTTCGATAAAATTCGGTCCATTTCCAGATAGTTTTGGTTTCAGTTGGGCTACTAATCTCTTATATATATCCTTGAGGTTAACTAGCTTAAAAACAAGATAAATGATTACTGGGTAATTGGCATATATCTGCATTTTAGATACTGTTTTATCTTTAGTTCATGAAATCATTACACTCCAGCCTAAAAAGAAATGGTTTAGTCAAAAAGTATAAATTGGCAACACATTAATATGAATCAGGAAAGGAGTGAAATAACCCAGAGCCTGTATGGCAGAAAGTAGTCGCATTTAACTGCAGTATGTTTGTGTTTGCAGGAGCTTTGGCTGAAAAAGCTCTGAGACCCATCATTCCTAAAGACTTCCCTTTCACCATCCGGGTCACTGCCGAGGTGCTGGAGTCAAACGGTCAGTGGTGTGATGTGTTTAGAGGGCGATATCTGTATTCATTAACCAAATAACTCATAGGTCCATTTTTGCCTTTATATCCTCTCAGGATCATCCTCAATGGCTTCAGCATGTGGAGGCAGCCTGGCTCTTATGGATGCAGGTACAAACGTGGAGAAATCTATTTAGCCACAGATGCAATGTTGGAAACAAATGACTGATTTTATCAGTTTTTTGTTTA